GTCGCAGCTATAATCTGTGCACTGGCCACTTCTAGCCTGGCAGCACAAAGTTGGTCTTGGAGCTCCTGTCTATCATGTTCTGCCTTGGTTATCGCGGCCCTCTCCACGTTTATTCTCGCCGCCGCTGCAGCGGCGCAGGCGGACTTGGTATCTGCAGATAGACTGTTTGCCGCCAGGGCGGCCTGTCGTTCAGAAGATAACGTCTCAACAATCCTGTTATCGGATTCTTCCGCGCGCTGCTGGGCAGCCGCGGTCTGATAGGACATTTGTTCCATCAGCTCTTGTTCCCGCCGACTCGCAGCTTGGGCCTGGGCGATTCTGTCAGCCTCGAGCCTCTTCTGAACATCGGCAATAACTGCATTCATTTACTCTCGATTCAGTCGGGCCTGTTCGGCCCTCTGGGCTTCTAAAACCATGGTTTCTTGCTGTCTCTTAACCTCCGTGGTTCTGGCCTGATCCTGCATGGCTTGGATGAAGAGGCATTGGCAGTTACGTTCTTCCATCTGAAAGCAATCCTCACACAACCATTGATTGCCGCAGTTGGGACACACATCAGAACAGTACCCACACACTGGGCGCTTACAAGGTCCCCCCTGTTTGCGAGCCTCCCTCGGGCAGATGTTCTCCGCCTGGGGCGGGCAATTAGGGCCTGGATTCCAGCACGCCTCGCGCGTGGAAATGTCACTGTTGCTCCTCGAAGTTGATCGGGCACCAGATCGCGGGATCTTGGGCCTTCCCCTGCTCGAAGCAGACGATCGAAGGCGAACGCGTGCGCTCTCCGGTGGCTTGGCCACCTCTCGAAGCGCCTCATCCCCTTCATCCTGTTCAACCAACTCTGGGAGTGAGGCTGGGGGATCAAACATATCATCATCCTCAACTACCGCGGGCGCTGATGGCCGCCAATCGCCTGGGGCGACGGCAGTCCGGTAGAACCCCTCCTGAAGCGGGGAAGCATTCAAATCATAATGTTCGTTCCTATGCTTCTTATGTTGAGGAGCTGGCGTTCGACCCGCGGTCTCCCGGTCATGCTTTACATGAAGTTGGGAACTCATTTCAACCTCTGCCGCCTGGGGCGGTACTTCAGCGATTGGGAGAATGGGGGGCGGCATCGATGTTCCCCATGGCTCATGCACCGCAGGGACCTCGCGGTCTAGGTCGCTGATCGTGGTGTCTAGATCTGGTTCCGCAAGTGCCTCCCCAAGAGCTTCCAGGTGATCGTAGTCAACGGTCTCCTGTCCTGGGGATGACCGTCTCATCATAGCTCATTCCAGTTGCGACTTGGTCGCGGGTTTCGGCTGATAACCAGTCTTTCCTCTGGGAATCGGGGTAAGATGCCAAAGGAATTAAGGTCTCATGTTTACTACGCTCAGTGGTAGAGGATATGGAATGAGACATCGATGAAACAACATGTTGCCCGTTAAGCAACTGTACTCAAGTATAGGAAGGGAGGAGGCCGGCCGGCCGACGCCTGGACGCGGGCGCGCAGCGGCGCGCTCCTTTTCTCACTCGAGCAGCAAAGGTAGCCGCGGTATACAATAATATTTATGTCAAGGTATGACAAGGCAGGCAGCAGGAGAGGCAAGTGCACGATGAGGCGGAGAGGAGCATATTTACTGTTGCACCTGGCCTGTGCACGTGCGTGTGTGTGTGTGACTGTGTGTGCGTGTGCCTGCGTCTCTGCGCGCGCCTGTGCGCGGCTGCGCGCGCGCGTGCGGCTGCGCGTGCAGAGCGCGCGCTGGGCGGGCGGGGCGGGGCGTGCACGGCGTGCGTGCGGGGCGTGCTCTGGGAGGGGCGGGCGGAGGGGCGCGCGGCGGGCGCGCGGGGTGCGTTCTGGGGGCGACGGGCGGGGAGAGGCGCGCGCCGGGCGTGCGGGGCGTGTTCTGGGGGGGGGGGGGGACGGGCGGGGGAATGTGCGGCATGCGTATGGTCTGTGCGTGATGCGCGTATATATACGGCCATTTGCGTGCTGGGGGTGCGTCATGTGTTCTGTGTGTTGCATGCTTCGTGTATCGCGTCGCGTGGCAGTAAGCGATGGCAATGACACTTGCGATGATGACGATGGCGATGAGTGTGATCGTGTCCATGCTGGTGACGACGATGATGATGCCGCTGCTAATGCTGATAATGACGGTGGTGATGATGACGATGATGTTGATGATGATGGTCGCCTGTCCTGCTTGACGTTTGAACCCGCATGGCCGTTGCAACCCACCGAGCGGTTGACTCGCATGGCCGAAAGATTCGATAGATCTCGCGAGCGAGCTGAGTAGCTCATTGTCCGAGGATAGTTCGAGCGAGAGCCTCAGTTTTAACTCAAGGAGTCCGAATTACGCGGTTTCAACATCGCAGTTGGTCGAGGATGTCCCGGGCGAAACGCCGTGGTGGGGGAACCTGACTGGAGAAGAATGGAAAGCGTCCTTGTATGTCCTGGGCGTATGAAAGATCCTGCCCCCCCCCCCCCCCTGTGCGTGTGTGCGTATGTGCGCGCGGGCGTGTGTGTATATATATGTGTGTGTGCCTATGTTTGCGTGTGCGTGTGCCTGTGTGCGTGTGCCTGTGCGCGCGGCTGTGCGAATAATTGGTCTGGGTGTTAACGTTAAAATTAAAGGCGGGGCCTTCAAGGCAAGCGGTGGCCAGAAACGCAGACAGGGCCAGACGGGGCCCGCGCCCCCGAAAGAAGCCGAGCCCTGAGACGCGCCCCCCCAAGAAGGGCCACCTAGGGCCGCCTCGCGACACGGGCCAGGGAAGGCGGACGGCAAAGCCACTGGCTCTGGCCCCCAACCTGCCCATGCCAATCACGCACGCACTGCGAGAACAGAAGCTACGCATGACCACAACCAAACTCGACTGCATTGCAAATGCACCACGCGCACATTCAAATGCAGGAGACATAACCCCCTGAACAACCACAGCCCCCCACCTCCAATGGGGAACAGACGTGCAAGGCGAACCATCGCTCAGAAGGCATTCCGAACACGCAGGGAAAAAAAACGTCTCACGAGGAGCACTAACCACGCTGCTCCAACCACGCCTCGGATCCAAGCCTGGAGGCAGCGGCGCCCCGCCTGCGGCACCTCCAGCGCTCGCTCCTTCATCCGAGGGCGCCTGCACCGTCGCGGCATCCGCTGCGAGCCAAGCGCGGGCGACGGCCGCCCTGGCACGCCACCAGTCACGAGCCGCGACCTCGCCGCAACCCCTGGCGCCGCCGCCCCCACGGAAGAAGGCCCGCGGGAAGGCGTCGAGGCACGCGGCGGCGGCGGCAGCAACATGTCCAGCAGGTTCGGCAGCTGGCGGCCCCCCAACCGAGCAAGCGGTGGCCGCGTCGGCCTCGCCGTCGAGGATCACGCCGTCGGAGTCGGAGCACTCGCCAGCAGCGCGCGGCGGCGCCGCCATAGCGCCCGCGGCCTGCGCGAAGTCCACCTCGCAGTCAACCTCCGACACCCCAGGGAAGAGAGGGGAAGGCACGTAGCAATCGCCGATGCGGGCGCCACGCCCAACGCTGGCGCGCCCAGCCAGCTCGAACTCCATGTTAAGCTGCTGCTGCGCCTCGTCGCACTCATCGACGTCAACCTGGGCCTGCATCGCCTGGGCGCCGTCGCCGCCGGCAACGGGGCCAACCCCGGCAGGGGCGAAGGGCCTCGCAGCCGACCGCAACGCCGTGCGCAGGGCCACAACTCGGCCAAGCTGCGGCAGCGCCTCCGCCTCGCAAATCTCAACGTGGCACTCGAACTTGGGCTCTCGCCTCGCCTCCAGCCTGGCGGACCGCTGGAGCCGCCGCAGGGCGAGGCCACGCGCCGACGCAACCCTGACCCCAAGGGCGTCGGCGTGGAGAGCCACATTCCTCCGCACTGCATCCTCCTGCTCGGGGGCTACTCCCCGCAGCAAGGCCGCCAGCGCGGGCGCGATCGCCCCCGGGCGGTCGGCCAGCTCAGCGTCGCCCGCGCAGGGCGCGAAGCACCGCCGAACGGCCTCCAGCTCGCTGCGCAGGGCTGCTGCCTCCGCGAGCGCCGCCTTCACTCCGTTGCCGGCTGCCTCGAGCGCCCGCCTCCGAGCCGCAGAACGCCCCGCGCGCGTCCGCCCCGGCTCGCCGAGGCAAGCGCGCGCAGCACCAGGAACGCTGCCCAGCGTCCCCGCCCGCGCCATCATGCCCAAGCGCCCGCCGCCGAGCGCCGAGCCAAGCTTGAGCCAAAATGGCTATTGGTCTGGGTGTTCTTCCGTGCTCCTGCGTGTTCTGCCGTGCTCCTGCTCGTTCTGCCGTGCTCCTGCGTGGTTTGCCATTGTCCTGCCCTGCCGTGCTCCTATGTGTTGTGCCGTGCTCCTGTGTGTTCTGCCGTGTTCCTGTGTGGTCTCTCATGCTCATGATTGTTCTGCCGTGCTCTTATGTGTGTTGTGTAATCTGCCGCGCTCCTGTGTGATCTGCTGAAAAATCCTGCGTGGTCTGCCGTGTTCCTATGTGTTATGTATGTTCTGCCGTGCGCCTCATGCTCCTGCGTGGTCTGCCGTGCCCCTGCGAACTCTGCCGTGCTCCTATGTGTGTTGTGTAATATGCCGCGCTCCTGTGTGATCTGCCGAGCTCCTGTGTGTTCTGCCGGGTTTCTATGTATTATGTGTGTTCTGCCGTGCCCATCATGCTCCTGCGTGGTCTGCCGTGCTCCTGCGAATTCTGCCGTACTGCTGCGTGTTCTGCCGCATGTTCTGCCGTGCCCCTGCGTACTCTGTCATGCTCCTGTGTGTTCTGCCATGCTCCTGTGTGTTCTGCCGTGCTCCTGCTCGTTCTGCCGTGCTCCCATGTGTTGTGTGTGTGGTCTGTCGCGCTCCTATGTGTTATGCCGACCTCCTGTGTGTGGTCTGCAATGCTCCTATGTATGTTGTGGTCTGCCGTGCTTCTCGTACTCCTGCGTGGTCTGCCGCGCTCCTGCGTGTTCTGCCGTGCTCCTGCGTGTTCTGCCGTGCTCCTGTGTGTTCTGTGTCTGCGTGTTCTGCCATGCTCCTAAATATTGGGTGTGTTCTGCTGCGCGCCTGGTGCTTCTGTGTACGGGGCCTTCAAGGCAAGTGGTGGCCAGAAACGCAGACAGGGCCAGACGGGGCCCGCGCCCCGAAAAAAAGCCGAGTCCAGAGACACGACCCCTGGTCTGGAAAGATGGCCGCCTGGCCCCGCGCGTTGAGTGGCGCGTAAAGAGCGAGAGCGCCACAAGCCCTCAGGAAGTGTGTGATCACAACAGCGTCTGCATATCGGCGCGTTGCCGACACGTCCTCCGCATGGAGGCCCATGCATATGTCCACGTAAAACACCTGCAGTGGGCGGCCAGGGAAGGCGGACGGCACAGCCACTGGTTCTGGTCCCCAACCCGCCCAAGCCAATCATGCAAGCACTGCGAGAACAGAAGCTACGCATGATCACAACCCAAGCTCAATTGCATTGCAAATACACCACGTGCACATTCAAATGCAGGAGACATAACCCACTCAACAACCACAGCCCCCCACCTCCAATGGGGAACAGACGTGCAAGGCGAACCATCACCCAGAAGGCATTCCGAACACGCAAGGAAAAGACGTCTCACAAGGAGCACCAACCACGCTGCTCCAACCACTCCTCGATTCCAAGCCTGGAGGCAGCGGCGCCCCGCCTGCAATGCCTCCAACGCTCGCTCCTTCATCCGAGGGCGCCTGCACCGTCGCGGAATCAGCCGTGAGCCAAGCGCGGGCGACGGCCGCTCTCGCACGCCACCAATCACGAGCCGCGACCTCGCCTCGAGCCCTGGCGCCGCCGCCCCCACGGAAGAGGGCCTGCGGGAAGGCGTCGAGGTACGCGGCGGCGGCGGCAGCAACGCGTCCAGCAGGTTCTGCAGCTGGCGGCCCCCCAACCGAGCAAGCGGTGGCCACGTCGGCCTCGCCGTCGAGGATCACGCCGTCGGAGTCGGAGCACTCGCCAGCAGCGCGCGGCGGCGCCGCCATAGCGCCCGCGGCCTGCACGAAGTCCACCTCGCAGTCAACCTCCGACACCCCAGGGAAGAGAGGGGAGGGCACGTAGCAATCGCCGATGCGGGCGCCACGCCCAACGCTGGCGCGCCCAGCCAGCTCGAACTCCATTTTAAGCTGCTGCTGCGCCTCGTCGCACTCATCGACGTCGATCTGGGCCTGCATCACCTGGGCGCCGCCGCCGCCGGCAACGGGGTCAATCCCAGCTGGGGCGAAGGGCCTCGGAGCCGACCGCAACGCCGTGCGCAGGGCCACAACTCGGCCAAGCTGCGGCAGCGCCTCCGCCTCGCAAATCTCAACGTGGCGCTCGATCTTGCGCTCTCGCCTCGCCTCCAGCCTGGCGGACCGCTGGAGCCGCCGCAGGGTGAGGCCACACGCCGACGCAACCCTGACCCCAGGGGCGTCGGCGTGGAGAGCCACATTCCTCCGCACTGCATCCTCCTGCTCGGGGGCCACTCCCCGCAGCAAGGCCGTCAGCGCGGGCACGATCGCCTCCAGGCGGTCGGCCAGCTCAGCGTCGCCCGCGCAGGGCGCGAAGCACCGCCGAACGGCCTCCAGCTCGCTGCGCAGGACTGCTGCCTCCGCGAGCGCCGCCTTCACTCCGTTGCCCGCTGCCTCGAGCGCCCGCCTCCGAGCCGCAGAACGCTCCGCGCGCGTCCGCCCCGGCTCGCCGAGGCAAGCGCGCGCAGCACCAGGAACGCTGCCCAGCGTCCCCGCCCGCGCCATCATGCCCAAGCGCCCGCCGCCGCGCGCCCGAGCCAGGCTTGAGCCAAAATGGCTACGGAGGTGCTTCTGTGTTCTGCTGTGCTCCTGCGTGTTCTGCCGTGCTCCTGTGTGTTCTGTCGTGCAACCGTGTGTTCTTTGGTTTCTGCCGTGCTCATGTGTGTTTTGCTATGCTCCTGCGTGTTCTGCCGTGCTCCCGCGCGTTCTACCGTGCTTCTGCGTGTTGGTCTGCAGTGATCCTGCCCATGTCCTGAAGATGTCTCATGCGAAAAGCTTAAGTTAAACATGCATGGTTTTAAACCAACCTGTTAAAGATCCGAGTGGTTAGAGGATGTCTCAAGCGATCGCCCCATTTTCGTAGGCGTGTTAAATTCGCGGCGCTCAGTGTCATATGGATGTCTCAAGCGAAACGCCTATTATTGTAAAAGGCGATGTTGCGATCAACTTATTTGTTGTTGAGGCTGTCTCAAGCGAACTGCGCATTTTGAGGGATCTCGAGGGCGCTCTTGGAATCAGATTGGGCCTCGTTTGGGGCCGTCTCGATGCCTCAAACATTGATGTCAGGGCAATGGCACGCGCATCTCATTTTTGCGGATGCTCCTGCCGAATTCGTCATTTTTAGAAGGCTGGCGTGGGCCGTCTGGAAGCCTTTTTCAGGAGTCATGCCAAGACGATGTTACAACGAAAATTGTCAAACGATGCTGTTGTATGTATTCAATGTTGGGGATGTCCATAGAGACATCATCATGACCGGCAATCATCAGGGCGCTTTTGAAGCCGTCTTTGGGTCCATTTTGGGCTCTCATTTCTTCATCTTGGAACACTTCAAGAATGATGTCAAGCCGATGTTGATAACATCTCATTTTGTTGAGGGTGTCCCAACGACATGCAAATTGCCTGCCGTGTTTGGTGTCTCTGGTCCGCCGTGCTGCCGCTCATGTTCTGGAGACGTTCCGAGCGAAAACGTAGTGTTCAACATAAGAGGTAGTACTACACCTCCGTCGACACCTCATTTTGACTAGGACGTCTCAAGCGAAACACATATTTTTACAGATTGGCGAATTTCGCGGATCTCAATTTGTCGAGGATGCCTCGAACGAAACGCTCGCTTGCGTTAAACGCGATGTCGCGGCAATGTCATTTGCTGTGAGGATGTCTCAAGCGAAATCGCCATCCGGGGGGACCTTTTCGGACAAGAACGGGAAACGCCGCTTCTATGAGCTTGCGTGCGCACGCGCACATGGAGTTGCACCCAACACGCATTTGCGCGAATGGGGTGCAATCGCTGGGATCCCCTGCATGCCCAGATGGTTGACATTGGTAGCTTATGTTTAGTGGTTGCCTGCGTTTGCTTAGGTCAGGTGTTGCGCGTGGCCTGTGCACGTGTGTGTGTGTGTGTGTGTGTGCGTGTGTGCGTGTGTGTGTGTGTGTGTGTGTGCGTGTGTGTGTGTGTGTGTGTGCGTGTGTGTGTGTGTGTGTGTGCGTGTGCGTGTGCGTGTGCGTGTGCGTCTGGGTGTGTGTGTGTGTGTGTAAGTGTGTGTAAGTGTGTGTGTGTGTGCGCGTGCGTGCGTGCGTGTGCCTGTGTGTATTTGTGTGCCTGTGTGCGGCTGTGTGCGTGTGTGCGGCTGTGCGTGCAGAGTGTGCTGGGCGGGCGGGACGGGGGGTGTACGGCGTGCGTGCGGAAAGTGCTCTGGAGGGGTCGGGCGGGGGGGGGGTGTTACGTGGGCGTGCGGGGTGCGTTCTGGGGGCGACGGGCGGGAGGGTGTACGGTGGGCGTGCGGGATGTGTTCCGGGGGGGACGGGCGGGGGGATGTACGGCATGAGTATGGTCTGTGCGTGGCGTACGTCTCTATATGGCCATTTGCGTGCTGGGGGTGTGTCATGTGTTCTGTGTGTTGCATGCGTCGTGTATTGCGTCGTGTGGCAGTAAACGATAGCAATGACACTGACGATGATGATGATGATGATGACGATGACGGTGACGCTGATAATGTCCATGCTGGTGACGACAATGAAGGTGCTGTTGATGCTGATGATGATGATGGTGGTGATGATGATAATGATGACGATGATGCTGCTTATGATGATGATGATAATGATCAAAATCCTGCTTGGGCGAAGTGGTTGCCTGTGTTTGCTTTGGTACGGGTGCGTGCGTATGTGCGTATACGCCTGTGTGCGTATTTGCATGTGCGTGTATGTGTGTGTGCCTGTGTGTGTACGGCCGTAAACGCGTGTATGCAGGAGGCATCACCAACCTGTGTACCTTAATCTGCCTGGCCATTTTAAACTGCCTCGCCGTTCTAATGCGGATGTTGTTTCTAACCGAAAATGGACGGGACCATTTTACCCAAGTGGCCGTTGAACCCGCCTGGCCGTTTCAACCCGCATGAACGTCTGAACCCGCCTGACCGTGGAACACTCAATGGATCGAGCGTGGCCGCTGAAATCCGCATGGCCGTTTTGACCCGCCGAGCCTTTGACTCGCATGGCCGAAAGCTTCGCTAGATTGCGCGAGCGAGGTCAGTAGCTCATATTTCGAGGATGTCTCGAGCGAGAGCCTCATGTTTAACGAACTGCGTCTCAAACATATGATTTCAGCATCTCACTTGTTCGAGGATGTCTCGAGCGAAACAGCCGTTTTGGGGAAACTTCCCTACCATCGCCTACGCGGCAAACCCAGGTACGTTTGCCCCGACCACCGCGTGCCCAGCAAACCCAAACACCTTTGCCTCGTTACCACAGCATGCGCAGCAAGCCCCAGCCAACTTGTTCTACCACCGCGCGCAGAACGAAAAACGGTACGTTAGACCCTCACCACCGCCTACACCGCAAACCCAGCACGTATGTCCCACCACCCCGTGCGCGGCAATCCCGGCGGGCTGACGCGTTTGCCCCTACCACCGCACGCAAAGCAAATCGCAGCGCGTTGGCCCCCCTTCTGCCACCAACCGCACAGCAAACCACGGTACATTTGGCCTTGCCGCCGCGCGCATGGCAGACCCGAACGACTCTGGCCCCCTTACCACAACTTACGAAGTAAAGCCCGGTATGTTTGCCCCTACCGCCGCGCGCATAGCAAGATCTCGCACGTTTGCACTCCCACCGACGCCTGCACAGCAGAAGCTGGCATGTTTGCCCCTATCGCCGCGCACATTGCAAAACCTGGCGCGTTTGCCCACCCACCGACGCAAACGCAGCAAACCTCAATGCGTTTGATACCATCGCCTATGCAGAAGACCACGCCCGGTACGTTTGCCCCCACCACGGCGCGCACAGCAAGCCCCAGCATCTCTGCCCTCCGACCCCCGCCTGCACAGCAAACCCCAGTACGTTTGCCGCGACCGCCACGCGCATGGCGAGCCCCAGCGCGCCCACTCTTACACGCGACCATCTGGTAGGATAGTAATAACGGACTTTGGAAATACTAGGGCCTTTCTTGATTATCATAGATGAACATGTTGATGCGTGTCGCACTCTTACATGTACCTGCCTTGTCTATGGTTACTTCGCGAGCATACCCGAACCGTGAATTCGGAATCAAATATCAGAAATATGGATTGTCTATTATGGCGGTGACGACGATGACGATGCTGGTAATGACGGCGTTAACGGCACTGACGAGTTCGGAGCCATTGGCGTCTCTGTCGCACCGTTTGGAGGCCTGCCAGGAACGGTCCCAAGCGGCATCTGTCGAAAGTTTCCTCCGAATCGATGTGCAGAGGATGCGTCCAGCAAAACAGCTGTTAAATAGTATGATAGTCCCCTCCGGAGTAGATGTTCGGTGGACGTCTCGAGAGCGGGTCTCATTTTGGATGAGACGTCAAAGTAACAAGCTCAACCACCATCCCCATTTTTCCGAGGATGTATCGAGCGAGAGCTCATGTTCTAACGTACGACGTCTTGGAACAACTCGTTCGACATCTAATTGTCTAGGATGTCTCAAGCGTAAAGACGATTTCTGATTATTCGAGCAATTTCGCAACCGACCTTAACATGTCAATATTCTGAGGATGTCTCGAGCGGGGGCCTCATGTTCCACAAAAGACGTCTGAAAACAACTCATCCGATATCTCGTTTTTTTTAGGATGTCTCACGCGACATCGCAAATTCGGGAGGAATCCGACAAAAGTTCGGTCTTTGCGATCCCGAGACAGTTGTCTCTAGCGTCTTTTTATGTTTGTTGGTTCCTAGTTCCTACTTACATGAAGGCCCAACGAACTCCCATCACCTTCTCGTTCCGAGAAGACGCTTCCCGTGATCCGCTAACCCTAACTCCTGTTGCACCCGCCACCCTGTATTAGTAAGATATGTTTAGATATGTTGCAGATTCAGCCACCACGTCCAGCTCGCTTCTCGTACCTCGAAGACGCATCCCGTCGTCCGCCAAACAAATTACCTTTTGCAACCGCACGCCAGTCATCCCTCGCGAATGTGTTCTTCATTTGTTCCTTATTCAACATCGTCTAGCAACATCCCATCCCCTTCTCGTTCCGAGAAGGCGCTTCCTGTCATCCGCCAAGCGAATGCTCATTTGCAATCGCGAGCCCGTTGTCCCTCGCGTCTCTGATCTTTATGAGTGAGCAGTAAGCATGGCCTACGAAACTCTCATCACCTCCTCGTTCCGAGAAGGCGCTTCGCGTCATCCGCCGGAACCATTGCCTCAATAGTTATGCGCTGATGGTTCCTAACCGCTCCCGCATGATGTTCCCAGATGCGCCAAGGCAGCGCCGAGACGCAACGGCGCGACTCTGACATATCCCATTCTGCTAGAGAGGGGGCCGGCGGCAGGGGGCGGAGCCCTTGCGGATAAGTAAGCTCGCGGAGGTCCGCGCGGAGGTCCATCGGCGCTGGGACCCCCTCCCCGGCGCGCGGAGGAGGAGGAGGAGGACTGGACTGGACTGGAACGCTTACGACCCTGATGAGTTCCGCTGTCGTGCGACGCTTAGCAAACGAGCACAAAATATGTAAAAGGATCTGCGGATAGCACGGGGCTATAGCCTGCAGCCTCGCTGGGGGGAGCCTCTGGCCCAGAGCAGGACCGTCCGATGGGGAAC